TACAATGTCGTTATTCTAAAAATATGGTGCTGGCTGTGCAGAGACGGTCAATTGACGTGTGACGATAGATTATCGTCATATCAACGATCGACTAGATCACTAGATTAAGAGATCGACACATATGGCTCTCGAAGCATGTCGCGCTACTATTATCCTCGACAATTTTTGTTAGCTACTTATCTCGCTCTGCTTCCTCTTCTATTCGCCGCGGTCCATCTATTTTTGGAGTTTTATTTCGAGTTATTGTTGGTCAAAGCGTCAAAGCGTCAAAGCGATCTCACGCAAAATCCCCTCTTACCGGACAATGTACATCATCGGCCATTGCGTTTTCACGATGATGCGGTATCGTGTTAAATTTGACTAGACCGCTAACAATAAGTCGGTCAATCGAAACACGCGTTGCCAGCACCAATTCTGATTGTGAATTGTGAAACGTAAACGCGATAGAGTCGGATAGAGGAAGCCAGGTGTGACTTGTGTTGGCCGTTTCCGGTGCACCGCGTATTTACGAATGTAGAGTAGACCGACCGGCGCGGCACGCGGTGGATCGTTCGCGACCCCGTTCGCATCAAGTATAAAGCTATAATAATAATAAAGCCTATAGGAGTTATGCAAGATCGATATACTAACAATAGCATTGCAGTCTTCTTAACACATGTCAATTAAGAAAGAATCAATGCGTGTGTAGAATGCCATGCAAATAAAGTTATTAATTTTTCATTAATAGGATGTGGGCAACCTTGGACAATATTTTGTGTAGGATTCAGACAATTCAATGCCAGTCTTGTACGCGGTGAATCTTCTCGCGCGAATGTGAAACAGGGTAAAACGCGATTAAATGCGATCTTGCGGGTATATGGTCCAAGGACGCCTTCGTCGCGACGACGATGTTATTTCAAAGAGATCTCTCGTAAATTTTGTGCGCGGTGCGTGTGTTGTGTGTGTGTGTGAAGCTGGCATATCATTTCGTTGAAAATCGTTAATTATTGAAAGTTCTTTATTTTCAATAGTTCTATAGTTTCTGATAGAGTAAACAAATAATTCTGGCCATTAAAGCCGAAAAACGCGTCAGTACAAACTGAGACGCTGTACTCGCACGCAGCGTCTCACTTTGTCCTGCGAAACTTTCCGGTACAGTATTTGTTAGATTTTAAAAGATCTGTAGTTCTTTTATCTGGTTATAAAGCCAGAACTCTAAATAATTAATGATTTTCAACGAAATAATACGCCATCAGTTTCACACACACTTTTATACGCAGTCATGAATTAGATGTTTGCAGTGTTCGCACGTCCACGTACAGCATCTCTCATTAAGAACGAGACGCAATTACTTAATAGGCGCCGATCGTATGATAAATAATTGACAAGAAGCAGTTTGCATGTCTTGCGTAACTATAATATTGAGTCTTTCAAGCGCAGATTAATTTGCATATATTTGCATATGTATATATTTGTCAAATACTGCATGACTACTGTGTGCATTTGGAAGAAATAAAAAACGATCCCAAACGAGTCCAGTTTTCATGAGAAGTGCTTAAGGGCCACTTCGACCAAGCTCCGATTAACTTAATCATTGATTAGTCATTTGTCAATCTGTTTCATGAGCAAATGCGATTGGTCATTTCCAATGGACTAATCAACGATTAAATTAATCGGAGCTTGGTCGAAGTGGCCCTAAATGTACAATATTATTATTTTTATCCTATTTCATAATTTTTCGTGAAATTTCAGTATTATTTTACTTTGCTAGGAATATACATTTCTAAACCACATTTACCATATTCAGTGATAATGATATATAGTGACACGAATCGTCTTTTAAAGATAGAAAAAAGTTTGTTAATTATGTGTGTCTTTGGTTAAAAAATTTTCAACTATTTAATAATCTTTTTGAATACGAGACATTAAATCCATCAGGTGATTGCGCAATGCTTAAAGTTATTTGGCTGTGTGTCGTCCGCTAATATTTAAGTACCGAGTCAACCTGGATTCCGATATCCTGCGAGAGTTTCATTAGTCGCTTGGGATTACCGGTTCAGACGTAGAGGGTATCTTTTGTTTCTTATAAAGATGAAAGGTAAAAAATACTTCAGCACATTTTCCTTATTTTTTTTACGCCAGATGCCAGAGCTTTTTCGCGTGATTTTTCGCTAAATTGAGCTAAATTCTAACTGATCATCCTGCGTGTACTTATATCTGAAAAGTCAACGCGTCACAACATTACCTTCAATTAAATTAAATTAAATTAAATGAGCGGTATAAATTAGAGGCGAGTTGCAGCGAGTTTTTGCAACTCACCCCGCTCCCGCTTCTTAGCTTCTTCCTTGTTGATAAAGGAAGCGACAGGCCGCATAAATATTGCAACCGAGCGGTAACGGAGATTCGCTGGGAGACCGACCGATCTATCTCATCTATCTACGTTCTCGCGCCTAGCCGGCTTAGCACCGAAAGTCTAAAAGCGGAATCCACGTTTGATACTTGACGAGAGACCTTGAGAGATGAAAAGAGAAAGAGAGTGGCACGTTCTGACACGCCAAATTGCCGCTCGCGATCTAATCGCGAAGAGATATTCGCGATAAGGGATTTTCGCTTACAACCGCGTCGATTCGTGCCGGCGAATTCGAGACGTATAGACGTATAAAGACAGGAAGTGTCGGGGACTATTGATTTTAACCAGGGCCCCTGCCCTGGTCTGGCTTAACACGCAACTCGTATTTTGTCTCGTATTAGCTTCGCTTTTACACAGCGACGTGCTTTGTATATAGTAAACAATAACTTGTATATTGTATACAAAATATTTTTATGAGAAAGATCTGTACTGTGTGTTAAGTTGAAAAATTAATTGTATCTAATTAGAGTTATATTCTCTATTTTATCATATATTTCATGTCTTTTTACATGAGGATATAAAGGTTTATGCTAATTGAGTTCAGAACTAGTTTCTTTGCGCTACTAATTTAATACAATTTATTAATTTTAAAATTATATGATATGATATTTTTACCGGATTACATTAGAATTAGATGGAAAAGATGTAAAAAATGGCGAGATGTTTATTTTTTGGATCAAAATCTGCAATAGTGATACATGAATAATTTTATCTACTATATAATTAACAATTCGCGATAGAAAGAGAAAGAGAGAGAAAGAGAGATTAAAAATGGAAAAATAAATTTGTTTATCGCGTAATTTATCGACTTACGAGTGTCGAGAGAATTAAGTCTTAGATACTGATACTTCGTTTTAAGAGTTAATGGGATTTTATTGCTCTCGAGGCACTCCCGCAAAGATTTCACTTAAAAAAATTACACGGTGCCGTATACGTGACGTATCTTAAGAGCATGCTCGTCGAAAATACTCACGCGCCGATTTCTAACACATGAAACGCATATGTTCTCGGCCGTTGCTAATACTACACTTCCAAGATGACAAGGTCTCCGCCCACGTAAAAATACGTCTGCCGATGATCTCTCGACACATAAAATTCCAAGGTCGAGCATCCGCGTTTCTACATTTCTCACAAAGCTTCTCCTACACGTACCCTACGCCCTACGCCTACCGCTACACTTCTGTTCTATATTTAAATTTACATATTTACTGTTGCACCGATTCTATTGAACGTCTGCAATCGATATACCGAATGTCCTAGATCTTAGATCCTAGATCCATCAAAAAGTATATTAGTCTGTTTGTATATCGAATTATCTTTTGACGCAAAACAATACGGAATCGATTTCTTAATCGGTGACGTGGAAGCGTCAGTGCAATGGAAACGCAGCTAAAGTTCACCCAAGATCGAAAGGATCTCGTGAAGCTCGCCCGGAAGAACTCGTTGCCAATATGACTATATAGTTATGACTAGTCCCATGGGGCGCAAAGAGGTCTAGAGTCTAGACTAGCTGGCGTGGGTGGCAACAGCCAGGAATTGCTTTTTTCCCCCTGACGCCCTGTCGTCTTCATTCCCATCGTCCAATCGTCCCTTCTCCGGGAGCTAGGCGCTAGGTCTTTATATTCTCTTCGCACGCACGAGGGCGAAAAGCACGAAAGCCCTTTAAAAGGACGCTCTCGTCCATGCACCCACCCTGCCATGCACATCATGCAACCTGCGGACCCTGCGGTGTATCAGTGCATATACGCAATGTCGGCTCTCTTCTTTTTCGCACGTTGTTCCTCCAAGAAGATAAGGATCGTACACGCGGTACGGTACGATATTACGTTAATAATAAAACAAAGGATGCAACTGAAAGTTGCGTCATATTCTTTTTTATCTCATATACGCGTTGGTCATCGAGATCGTTGACATTAAATGGTAATTAAATCTTGAGTTTCAGTTTTTGTATTATACAAATAAAAAAATATATATATATATTGTATATATATAATTTATATGTAAGAAATGGAATACAAAAAGATATGATTTATTAATTTAATTTATCATTTAATATATTCATTCTCTGTATTTTATGGATGGCGTTTGCAAGCATTACATTAATTAAAATTTTCGTTTGTCAATTCAGTTGCATTTCGCTGCAAAAGTAAAGAGAAATTTTCTTTAAAAAGCACGAGATAACTGTTTGCTTATCGGATCATGCACATCGCGATCATGTACATGCTCTAAATCCGTATCGCGTACATTAGCGGAAGTGCGTGAACCGTCGCTCTCTTATACATCGCTGATTGATAATACCGTAGTGGCCCGGCGTAGTAGCTATATACTACATAGCGATGCGCGTGTATATTAATTGCGTATGCCGGATGTTGGAGTCCATCAGTCCATGTCCATGCACGCGTTGCGTACTAGTCGCCAAGTTGCGTTATATGCGTTATAGTCGCGTTATATCAAGGACGGTATTCGGGCGAGTCATGGACGCGAGTGGTGGACGAGGCTGAATCCGTTACGTTAAATCGTTAATCGTTCCTCGATTATTAAGCTCGTATGTTTAAAACTGTAAAATAAACTATATTCTTGTTAAACTAACGCAAATATTATTCTTTTCTAGAGCTCGCAGAATAGATTGCTAATTAAAAATGGCAAGGTCGTGAATGAGGATGGAGTAATCGACAGCGATGTCTATATCGAGGATGGCATCATCAGGTATGCAAATGCGAGATGCATTTTTATCATACGACGCACAATATTGATTTATACGAGTACATATTCCGCGTTTATATGTAACGTGTCGTTTGCGCGAAAAACACTTTTCGGCTTGTTAGAGGAAATTGTGAGGCGCGTATCCGCGCGTTTGTTTCTCAAAGGTAACGAGGCATTTTACTTGGCGATATGACGGTATGAGTATCATAGTATATTTTCAGCTCACGTGTCTAATCGCCACAAACGAAACGCGATTCGTCATCGCGGTAATTCTATCATGTAGAACTGAATGAGGTGGCTACAACAGCGAACACGTTTACGTTCGCTGTAATTTATCAAGCAAGCGCGACTGATCGTAACTGTTAGGTAATCGGTAGACCCGGTAGATCCAGTAGACTCCGTCCAAGTATCAATGTCATATGTAAATGCAATATAATGAGATTGATTTGACTAATCAAGCCGCACTTTAGTGTCGAAAGTCCCTCGAATTGATTGTGCAGAATGAAAAGATTATAGTTGACAAATATTGTCATTTCTGTTTGCAGGCAAATGGGCCGCAATCTCATTATTCCGGGTGGCACAAGAACCATCGATGCTCGTGGAAAATACGTAATGCCCGGTGGCATAGATCCGCACACCCATTTCGAGTTCGAATTTATGGGTACCAAGTCGGTAGATGACTTTTATCAGGGCACGAAAGCCGCTGTCGCTGGCGGTACCACGATGATCATCGATTTCGTGGTACCGCGAAAAGACGAGAGCCTCGTGGAGGCTTACGAGAGATACAGGCAGTCGGCGGATCAAAAAGTATGCTGCGATTATGCGCTGCACGTCGCCGTCACATCTTGGAGTCCAAAAGTAAATTTATTACGATATCTCATAGTTTTTTTTTTTTTTTATTTTTTTTTCCCTACATATTATAATAAATATATTGCAATCCGATTAAGTTTAGAATATAAATATCTAATTCAATCTGTTCTAATCAGTTTTCCTAGCTACTTATTAAGCCGACTTATAGCTTTCTAATTATTTTGAGATAAGTTGTTTCTGATCAACGTATAGCCTACTTTTACGACACGATGCGTCAATCAAGCACTCACTCTTGTAAATGCAATATAATGCTTACGTCAGGTCATCGTGCCATGTGCACTCTCTATTCTGCCTTTTTTACCCGGAACGAGATAATTGCAGCATTTAACACGAAATCTTTCTAAAAAAGAAAATTCATTTAGGTTTGACCTCTTTCTTTCCCCTATTTATCATATGCAAAATCGAAACTGCACAATTTATGACGTTTATACGTTAGTTATGCTTAATTATGTTAACGCGTTAATTATGTTAACTAGGCGCAATGACAATTGGCGTAACGACAATTTACGTAATTCCAGTGCAATGTAAATTACAGTGCCCACGGAATACATAACATTAATCCAATTCTACCTTTTGTAGTTTCCGCTCATTAAGATGGTCGTAATTCAGTTTATAGAAGTTTTAAACGAATTTATTAGATGTTAACACTTGATATTAATAATTCAATTCAATTACATCAATGGTCTTGATCAATCAATATTTATATAACTTGGTTTCTCTCTCTCGTCCAGATTATATTCTTATCCATGCTATATGGAGACGCAGATAGAGAATTTAACTAGAGTTAAACTCAATTCTATCGCTAGCTTGTTAGTCTTAGCGTGGTTTGAATCTCTTACGTTCACAGCTTCGATTACCGACATTCGAAGGATCAGTGCGATTCCAAACGTAGGAAAACCAACAAACTTGTTTCGTAAATTGGCGACTGTTGTGCAGATCTCGTAACCGGCTTATAACTACGATTGCCGATCACGCGACTGGAATACCGAGCGACGGCGGATGAGAAAACCATTCGCACGTGCTGCCTGAGGGCACGATGGAAGAGAGTGATTTGCCGTCGAGCCTCTTTATTTGCTGCCGTCAGTCGTACAATCGAAAGGAAGCCGCGTTCGCGATTCATTATTCATCGGTATTCATTGCCTCGTCTGTCTGCAGGTCAAAGAGGACATGGCAACGTTGGCGAAGGACCACGGCGTCGGTAGCTTCAAAATGTTTATGGCGTACCGAGATATGTTCATGCTCAGAGATCCGGAGCTGATCGAGACTTTCAAGGCGTGTAAAGAAATCGGCGCCGTTGCTATGGTGCATGCGGAGAACGGTGATCTTATCGCGGAGGTATACATATAAAATTATGATAACGCTAATGATAATACACATATTTATCTGAGATCAATTCTGCGTTTCATACATTTTGCTACTTTTCACTATTAATCCTCGTGATGTCCTTTGGAGATAATGAGATTTCATTTCAACATTTTCAGACTCCATAGTCCTTTTAAAGTTGTCTTTAATTCTTTATTTATAATTTAGTAAGTTATTTGTAATTTATATAAAAAGAACACATATGCGCGCGCACGCATTCAATATACACATTTAAATAAAATAAATAATAAATTTATATTTCACAAACTAGAAAATATACAAATATTTTTATATATAACTTTCAAACTTCTGCTCTTCAAATATTACAATCGACAACTAATCTAAAGTAACATAAAAAGAAAGCTAAGCCATAAAACCGCTATGTGACTTGAAAGTTACGTTGGATAACGGAGGCTCAAGATGTTGTTTGAATGTTGTTTGAAACAGGATTTTAATGCAAAATACAATTTACGAGCTCTCTCTCCTATCGTCATAAACTTGTTTTAGAATGCGAAGAAATTACTGGCCGCAGGAGTAACCGGCCCGGAAGGCCACGAGATGTCACGCCCCGAAGAGGTCGAAGCGGAGGCTGTGAACAGAGCGTGCGTTATCGCGAATCAGGTAAGCGGAACGCTTCGCAATAATGTCGTTGCTAAAACGTTGATATCTCTTAATCGGTCTCGTATATTCGTGTTTCGTTATCTGTTTTGATGTATACTTTATTTCATCCGAGCACGTAAGACTTTTTTACATTTCACCATTTTTTAAGTTGTATTACGGATGTACTTGGCACGCTACCCGTAGTGGTATTTAGTTCACGAACGATCATAAATTTCAGTAGATTAGAAACCAGAACGCTGCTTTTCGTGGCATGTGCCCAATGTCCGAAATTCTCAAATCGTGCCGAGATCAAGAAATATCTGTGTCACGCGGTAAAATGCGATAATAGCCTAAGAATATCTAAAAATGCCTACATTCTATTGTATTTTTCCTTTCTAAATCCTCGCCTTATTATCTTATATCTTTTTAATTTTTTTTTTTTTTTAATTTTATATTCTTAAATTTCCTCTTTATATATTTCTCCATCTTTTACTCTCTTTCTTTCTCCGGCAACTAAAAACGTATTTAGGCACTATCGCATCTATCGCCGTACTAGTATCAAAATTCTGCATGCTTAGGTCAATTGTCCGCTGTACGTAGTGCATGTGATGAGCCGTAGTGCCGCCGAGCAAGTGGAAGACGCGCGTAAACGCGGCGTTTGTGTCTTCGGTGAAACCTTGGCAGCTGCAATCGGCACGGATGGTACCAACTACTTACACAAATGCTGGAGACATGCCGCCGGTCACGTTATAAGTCCACCACTCAGACCAGATACGGACACGCCACGAGTACTCGTGAACATGTTAGCTAAGTGAGTCGAAACTATCGATGAATTTACAGAACGACTTTGACATCGAAGCGAGCTAGAACGTGAATCTATGAAACCATCTGTGTAGAATTGTAGAGATAATTAACACGCAAGCACAATTTGAGGATTCATCGTTAGCAAGTCGGATATGTGTATTACGAGCCAAAACTAGGTAGAGCCAATACAAACTGTTAGTTGTGAACAGCGATATTTACATAGAAGAGAATGCAATTATGTAACTAAAAAATCTCGGATCAAGTCGATTAGTCAAATAGATTTTTCTCTATCTTGTACGAGAATTCGAAAAACGTGGTTGTAGATATTGCTGAACATTTAATACTAAAAATTAATATTTTTGTATAAAAAATTTTTTTTTAATGTCAAACTGTGTGATAAAACACCCCAAAAGTTTCGAAAAAATTTGTTTTATTGGAGCCAAAAAAAAAAATTGCAAAAATTATGCTTTTTTTTAGCGTTCTAATTCAGGCTCTCCCCTTAAACATAGATCCGATTGCATTCTTAAATGAATCCCTTGCCAAGTATAGCATCTTGTCCGTAAGAATGTCGGAAAACACTTTCGTTTCGAGATCGATGTAATGGTTACGTATCAACGCACTTTCTACTTCTAAAAGGAATAACGCACGAGTGGTCTTTTCCTAAATAAATGAGTCAAGTACATTGAGAGAAAAGTTGGATTTGTAGAGAGTAGTGAAAAATCTCGGATGGAGAAACTCGATGTTTCTTCGCGATTTTACTGTTAATTATCTTTATTCTATCGACTATTCGATAGAATATTTTGAGAAAAATTGCGTTTCTCAAATAACATTGCAGCATGTACGTATATATTCGGCTCAAAGTATCGATTTTACCGAGTCTTGGGTCTACGCACACCATTGATTTTACTCCCTCCACATACTTTCTATCCCGCTTATTAGCGGAAATTGGTTGCAATTGCAGCAATAGTAATTCTAGTTATCCAGTTTCTATGTTATTCTATGTCTAGCTAGACGCTTGCGTGACATACGCGCAAATTGCACAATTATGCCGTCCTTTATTTGTCCGCTCGCATATTGAAATTTATATTTAATAGTTCCGTTGAAATCCGACCCGCATGCATATGAAAGTAGCCATCATTATTTTCGTTCTCTCTTTGCTCTTTTATTCTTATTATTCATTTGCCTGTTACGTGTACAATTATACATATGAAAATTTTATATAAAGGTTGATATAAAAATATGTTTTATTAGAAACTTTTTTAAAAGATAAATCTGAGCACAGCTGAAAAATATTTTATGGTTTTTTTATTTGTAAATTTTATATTTATAATATCAATACTTGGCATGACATACGTACGTTTGGAATTAAAAATATAATTTTACATACACCTACACATGTGTTTTATACATTTTATATTATAAATAAAAAAATTAATTGCTTTAATATTAATATATAAAGCTGATTCTTATATGTAAAATGAAAGGTAATAGTGATAATTTTAGTACTGGAGCATTTTGAAATTTTTATCGAAATTTCAGTATTTTTCTAATCGTAAATTGCTTTGTCTAGTATATAGACTAGTAGAGAGAACGTAGCAGTTATTTCAAAGAGAGAATAAAAATATCGACTTTAGGTGAATAGTCCGTTGTACATAACGGCGATTTCGAGCAAGTCGGCTGCCGATGTCGTGTCGGCGAAACGATCGGACGGTATCATCGTTTTCGGGGAAACCCTGACGAGCACCATCGGTATCGATGGTAGCGAGCAATACGGCAAAAACGTGGAAAGAGCAAGGCGTTTTATTACTAACCCTCCGTTGCGGCCTGACCCAACGACACCTGCCTATCTAACCGAACACCTGGCCCAGTAAGTAGAGTCTCCGATCTCTTTAGAATGGCTGGGTTGGTTTAAAGACTACCATTAAATGACTACTGTTCCTCAACTTTTAATCATTTGACGTTTGCTATTTAATTTCATATTATTAATTTCGATTACTTTAGCTTATTCGATGTCAAAGTAACCACTTAACTTTTGTTTTCTTTCAGAGAGTTCAATCTTCAGACGCACTAATATGACCATCTTTTCAGAGATAATCTTCAAGTTATCGGTAGCGACAATTGCACGTTCAGTACTGAGCAGAAGGCTCTGGGCAAAGATGATTTTACGAAGATTCCCAATGGCGTGAACGGTGTGGAGGACAGGATGGCAGTGCTCTGGGAGAAGGGTGTACACGCTGGCATAATGGATCCCATGCGATTCGTTGCGGTCACCAGCACGAACGCCGCCAAAATCTTCAACCTGTATCCCCGAAAAGGTGTTATAGCCGTCGGCTCGGACGCTGACATTGTCGTCTGGGATCCCAACAGGAAACGCACCATTTCCGCCGAGACCCATGTCCAGGCCGTTGACTTCAACATCTTCGAGGCAAGTTTGATTGAATCATCCGCTTTCAACGAGAAACGATAGTTGTAGTATTGCGCAGCACAGTATTGTGTGCGTTATATTTAGACAATTAGTGTAGTTTAATTATTTAATTAATGGTCGATTACAGGGTATGGAAGTGACTGGCGTACCTGAATACGTGATTGTCAGTGGACGCGTATGCGTGGACGAATGTGAGCTCAAAGCTGTTCATGGCTTCGGAAAATACGTAAACACGGATCCATTCGGCGCTTATGTGTACGACATGATAAATGACAAGGAAAAGGTATAACATACCGATTCTTTTTTTTTCTTTCTTTCCACTTCGCTCTCTGCCGCTATTTTTTACAGATGGGTTATTTTTAAATAATAATGTTAAAGTGATTATATTTTTTTAAATTACATTTGCAATTTTTAAAACTTGATCAGAATAAAATGAAACATTAATAAAAATTTTATTATTGAAATTTGACATTATATTGCAACTGCGTAGAGACCACGTGGAGTCGCACGAACCGAAGCGGAAGCGAAGAGACATGCCGAGGAAGACGCCGCGATTGCGAAGGCTAAGGAAGAAGCGAGAGTGGCTGCAGCCGCGGCTGCGGCACGAGCCAATCAAAACGGTTCGATTCACGATAGTCCAAAGATAAAATTGCGACCTAATACTTGTACTTTACCAGAATCCGCCGTGGTGACACCATCCACGAAGGGCCCAAGACTCGAAGGGCAGAGAAACCTACAAGATTCTACTTTCTCTATCAGCGGTGAGTCTTATTATAAATTATTTTTTGAGTCTTTAGACATACGTGGCATATATTTTCTGGTGGTCTCATACTAATAAAGGATAAGTCTAATTCTAATAAATTGTTTGAGCTTGATATCGTAAGCCAATTGTGGGAAATACATTAATTCTTATTCATTTGTTTTATTCTTCATATTGTGGGAATATAAGCGCGGTTTTTCTTACAGAGGATGTCGAAGAAGCACGCAGGGCATGCATTCGCGTAAATAATCCACCGGGCGGGCGCAGTGCGGGAGGCTTTTGGTAATTTTTACAAAAAGAAAAAACATCAAGCTTTATGTATAAGGATCACTTAATGCAAGAATTGAATGGGATTTTACTTCTCTTTTCCTTTCTCCTTTGTCATACTCCTTTCATCCGTCATAACACACGTACACACCCTTCTTCGTTTCAAAGAGTATCAATCCGCTTTCAGGTTTGCTATTCATTAAATATTACACGAATGTAAATCGTTTTCACATTGTATTCCTATCGGTTAAGGTCTGTTCCATCGAAGAAGGGGACGGAAGCCACTGGCCAATAGGTTGTACATACGTTCATACATATATTCATATTAATCATTCAACTTTCGCTTCATTATCGCTTCATCGATGCACTGTATCGTTGGCGTGCTTCAATTATCTTGGTTTATTTCCTGATTTCTAAATTATTTAGAAATTTTCTTTGATTTTTTTGACAACGTTATGTGTTAATAGATTTTCTTTAAAAGATCACTTTCATTATTATTACTTCAAGATTTATTTATTGTTGTACATAAAAGTGTACGTATAATTATATAATTTGTGTTATGTCATAAAATCACAAGATATGTATTTAACATCTGAGCGAAAAATACTATATTGGACGAAACATTTTTGAAACAAAGACTTTTATAATATGTAAAAAAGTTGATAATATTTTATGACTATATACATATATATTGTATTTTATAAAATTTATTTCTGTGCGTTCGGCAATTATATTCATTACGAACGAACTCTAAAAATCTCACTTATTGTTAGAAAAAAAACCATTTGTTATATATTATGAACTTCGGTATAGGAGATAAAATATTTGTTTTCTTATTTCCTTTCTTATTCTTATTGTATGATGATTTTTTTAATTTAAAAGAAAACCTTGTAATGATGATCAGGATGAGATTTCTTTATCTTGTGAATAAAATCAGGTGTGATATTAGTCACATTATTAATAAGACAGTTGCTTGTTTATTATCCATGATAAGGAGAATTCGTATTAGAAAACTGTTGTGGGGCTCAAAGAAACATAGAAAGACATAGTATTTTAAGTTACAACACTTGCATTGAGCCATCGATAAAAAGTTATGTTTATTTATGACGTGAAATGTGTTACATAAATATATTTATATATACATATATATATGGACTAGTTGCATCTTGTGGTGTAATTATATGTATGCTTGTATTTAATAGAGAAATCATTAGAATTTTATTTCAAATTTAATTTTAACAGCAATTAATATCTGTTGCGTGTATACGAAATATTTCTAAGTCAAGAGTAAAGACTTTCCATCAGTACAATTATTTTATCGTTAAAAGCTATAAGTTGAACGTGACATTATTTTGCATACTGGAGTTAAGAAACATATATGTTTATTTTGATCCAATTTATTTGTCTTATTTATTATCGCAACAATGCACATAAATGTTAATATTACTTTGCATTACTTTTACGAAATAAGAAAATATTTCAGTGTGTTCACACGTTTAATTAGATCGTTGAATGTATATATAAAAAAGTGCAGTTTTAGTTGAAGTTAATTTAAAAAAATACTGTTATAATTCTCTATATAACTCTATACAACTACTGTATCGCAGAAATTTATATGTGTTTTATTGGAGGTTTTCTAAATGAGGTTGAACAATGTTGCATTCTAAATCTGTTGCGATCAATTAATATTCGTCATTCGTTATCCATTACAATCAACATAAGTATATACAATCACTATAAGTCGTAACATAAGCGTGTAAGCCGAAAGAATCTTGTCATTCGTATTAATCACCTTTTTATGATCACGTTTTCGATAAATTTGTACTTGGTGTAAGATTCTAGAGGTAATACGCCAAAGGAAAGTAATTTTAGGTCGAATAATGATTTATACTTTGATAAATAATGAGAGTATCAATTATCAGTGAATCAAGATTTTCCGTTTAGCATGTAGATTTATGTAAATCCTATCGACAGAAGTTTATGGCATTGCTAATACCGATTCTCCGCATTCTCTGCGTCCGCGCGAGCGCATGATATAAATTATAAAAAACGACGCACAAACTTTTGTTCGCCCATATCATCACTGTAAGATTATTACGATAAGAGCAAAATAGGAAATCATGTTATATAAATGCATTCTCTAATTGTAAGAACTCTTTTCTTAATTTAAGAGACACTCATTCACAAAATCATACGTTCTCACAATAATACACATGTCGTTATTAATCATTTCACGTAACCCAAGTTATTCGACATTCCGATTTGTTAGACTCTAGCTCCTTTTATATCTAAAATATTGAACACTACTTTTCTCTACCAATTTAACTCTTTCTGATGATTTAATCACATATTATTAACACATGAAGTATATAATTGAAAATACCGTATCACTACTGAATTTTCTTTAATATAATAATGATAAGGAATGACAAGAATAATAAATCGTAATCACTTAATCGTCATCATTACGTAACAAGTGTTAATTGTGTAATCATTCATGTGTAAAAGAACAGTTAAGTCTTACGACTAAGAGCTTACGCAAGTCAAAATATGAAAGACCAAAGCAACGTTAGAAATCAAAAATTTTCTAATAGATTTTCTATCGAAATTCTGCCGACATTTCTATGCATCTCTGTACTAATGATAATCCAGTACGTTTATTTGAAATAGTAACAAGTTATATTCATATAACTTATGTAATAACTTTTCTAAAAGTTGCATCGACACAAAGTACTTTTGAGCAAAGTTTTTTATTTCTCAGTAAATTCAAAGTTGTTTTGAGAGAGACTGAATACCTTGAAAGAGATTTACACATTTAAAAAAAAAGTTATTTAATAACAGTTTTATTTTAAGTATTAGCACAGTGAAGGTAGCGAATTATAAGACAAATTATTGATTCATAAAGTATCTTACATAGCACAGAAATATTTTAACGCATTGTTATCAATTAAACTTCACAGAGAGTTATTATTATACACTTTGCACGTAACGCTGTTGATATTTTATGCCAGTGTCGAAGATTTTTATGTTATCGCTGTTGGATATCTACAGTGACATTTATTTATTTAAATGGCATATATAAAAGTGCTTTTAAGGACAAATAGCATATTACAATTATAAATGTGTTCACGTTATGTGACCTCGTGTCGAGTACTCGGAAAGAATGTATAGTTTATCGGCATAAATGACACATCTAGAGTATCCTATTTATGTCTGTTATGATGTATGTGATCGCTTTAAATAAATATAACACACGTAACATAGTCCACGATTTTCCTTAGCGATTGACCTTAGACAACTTACTATAGATCTAATATATATACATATATTGACCGTAACGTAAAGAAGTAGAACACAGGTATGTAAAAGAGGATACATTTGGCCGATTGTTACTGTCCTTTTCATTAATTAACGATTTAATTAACAATTTGTGTTGAAGATACATAATTGATGATTATCATATAATATATATTTATATTACACATACTGTAATTACATATTCTTTTATAATTGCTATCTTCTAATATCATTACCGCATTCGAGATAATATATTTCCTTTGCAACATTTAACTTAATTAACATTTAAATTTAACTTAAAGTGCTCAAAATGTTGCTGTCGAGTACTAAAGCGATATGTAAGTTTGTTAAAATAATGGATAATATTGCTCGCAAAAAGAACATCACAGCTAATTTATTGTATAATAGCGCATGCATGCCAGCTTGCTGAAAATTTTTGATACGTGATATGGCTTTAACTCGTAATAAATAATTATCACAATACGTAAGATAAAATAAAATAATTCGATATTTATTGTATTTTATCTTCCATTTTTCTAAATTTGCTATTCTCACGTGACTACAAAGCGCTTGCACATATCGCTTCGATATTTGCATCATTCCAATTTCCTGCAGCATTCCGGTTCGCATATATTGAAATATAAGGAATATTATGATTCACTTTCTGGCTTCATCCTTATCGTTTAATTTTTCCGCTCTTTGACGCGCTTTTTCTAAAATTTGCTTGAGTTCTGACGATCGGGCAGTTTTGTACTGTAAAAAAAGAAAAAAAAATAGAAAAATGTTGTAAACATTACAAAATCTTTTCCATTAAAGCATGCTTACCTCACATTCGTTTTTCGCTAAAGTTATTTGCCCATTCAGCCTGCTTCCCTCGGACAGACCGCACAATTGCTCCAGTCGCCGTCGCGATAAATTGAACAATTCCGTGCCGTTCGTATTTTCCAACTGTTTGCAAATTCTACAAATAAAATATACTTGTATTTATTGAATGATGAATAGATCACAGTTCCGTTACTCTCTCATATCAGAATTATATATATAGTCAATATACTTTTGCGAGAATCCTTTGGCTGATAACCAAGTTTGAACTTCCCAAGGGGTCGAGTGTTGATTCAACCAAATTTCCTGCGTGCTGTTATTGATAGGAGAATTTGCTTTCTTCTCTCGAAATATCCTCAGAACAAACTTGAGCTCTTTTTGAACTTCTTCTTGACTGGAAATGCCTTTTGAAAGTATAAAGAGTAAGAATGCGCCACAAATACATTTACTATGATAATAATTGCTAATTATAAAAATTTTCATTTAATTACATTTAAATAAAAATCCATTTTGAGTCGGGTTTTAACAAATAGGTATGTATAAGATAGATTAACAAGATAAAATAATTATTAACATTAATATTTGAAGCTAGTACTCACCATTGAAGAGTTTACTACTTTTGAAAGTTTCTGCTTTATTAAACGTAAAAGTTGTCGCTGGCACAGATTTTTGAGTTTGAAGCAGTGGGGTAGATCCTATTGGCGTCGTCGGCGGCGGCGGCGGCGGCGGCGGTGGTGGAAGTGGTGGAGGCGTCGGAGATATCGTCGATGAATCTAATGCCGGTACAGGTGATGCTGGTGCTGATTTTAATGGAGATAGTATTGGGATTGATTTCAATACAAATAATGTTGGTGCTGATTTTGATGTGGGTAATTTTGGTGCTGATTCCGATGCAGGTAGTGCTGGCGTTGATTTCGATGCGGACAGCTCTGGTGGTAGTGTCAGTGCAGCCGGCGCGGGTAAAGCTGGCTTGTCGGGTATTACATCTAGTATTATATCGCGAGGTGGTGAATGCACTTCCACGATGCTTTGTTGCGTATTAAGCTTTCCATTCGACTGAGAAATACTCTCGATAGAAGAAGTGCTAGATCTACTGCTATCACTGATGGATATTCCGTTGTAAGAACTAATGTCGTCTGTAAAACAATTTTTACATAAATTAATTTGCATCAAATTGTCCTTGATAAGATATAATAAATTATTTATTGCACGAGTATTTGATTCGTTCACGGAATCAATACATCGTAATGCATGCCATTATAGACGAGCTTAAAATACGTGGAAAGGCTATAACTTACCCCACAAAGCTTTCACATAAACTACACACAGTTTTATATAATTGGACGAACACTAAGCATATATAATTTAAGCATCATGTATCGTTATATAAGCATATGTTTATTATACAAGGTGTTTTTTATCACTGCACTAAACAAAGTATCTTTATATAAAATATAACGAAATGATACTACAATTATATTTAATTGTTGTTGCGATTCGCAGGAGACAAGAGAAATGACGGGAACGACGACGACTCCTTGCACGAATAGAATGTTTATTAATAATAAGTGATGTACACATATAAAAAAATTACAGTACAATGAAATATACTGATGGATCGCATTCCCGGCCCGTGGACACACACATAAATGTCAAACTAATATTTCGATCGATCGCGAAATAAAGATAGGAGATAGCGCGTAGTTGTTCACTTTTTTTAGCTTTATACATTGTAATTTCTTATGAAAAATATACGTCGCATTGTAAGGAGCGTTTTATCAATAGGATTACGATATATAACATCACAATCTAACAATAAATAAAGGAATATGAAGAGAATGTATCTGTAATAGAGAAAGAATAACAAGAACTTGTACTGCTTGTCCACGTTTATTATATTGCTCATTGACTTCTTGGTCGACTAGTTATTATCTCGTTTAAGTCAACACTTTGATATATGTAGGTTTAAATATATGACAATAAATAATGCAAGTCACAAAAAATAATAATAGCATCAATTCGATAAAATCGATTCTGTCTTTTATGCTTGTACTTTTTCTGTCTTTCTTTGACAGTAAAGATTTACAATTAGAAATATATTGAGAGAAGCTTAGATTTCGCGTTACAGCGAAATTTATATAAATCATATGCAGACCATGATTACAAGAGATCTAGTTCGTCAGTGTTTTGTATTTCTAATATTTTTAAACTTTACAAAAATTTATCATACATGTGTGTGTGTGTGTGTGTGTCTTTTCTCTCATTGTTTTTACAGCTCTCTTTTTCCTCGTATTCCCTTCGGTCGTTTGTACAAGCTTATTTACATTGATACATACAAAATGCATGCGACAATGACACGTACAAGCAAAATTGGCAAAAAGATTCGCTACATCAATAGAAGCTATTGATAAAACGGAGAAATAAACATGAAAATGTATCGTCAGATACCCTAGTAGCGCAATACATTTGCAACATGTTGGCTAAATATTGGTTGTATTAGAAATACAAAACACTGGCCTCTTGGCCAGTATTTCCTAATGTAAAGCATATTGGTTATTAATAAAATGCAAGTGCACTGCCAATATTAGCTCAAAAAGAGAGAGCGTCCACTTAACAATATAATACCAATATGAAAAATTAGTCTATATACCCAACAAAAAAATTGGATATATGTCCAGTATATTGTTAGCCAATATTAAAATATAGTATAATATAATAAAGTTGTGCTACTAGGGTACGTATTTTCAGAGAAGTCGTTTTCTTTTCCTCCACAGTCTCCCAAACGATTCTTATCAAGAGCTTTTATCGAAATCGTAGAATTTGTTCGCACAATGAAGCTCCAGTAAGGACAAAGGACAAACACAGTTATAATTTCAACGGAAATATATATATATATATCTAAGGTAGATTATATCATCCCAACTAATTCAACCGTTTACATATCTAGGTGTGTATTTATATCATTTCATACTTGCATTGCTTTATCAGTATAAGTACTTTTTAACGAAAGAAAATATCAGATCTTAGCGGATTTAACGTCAGATATCGTAACATTTTCACTTATAAAGTAACATGTATATAATATGTATATGGATTCTTCTTTCTGCCATTATAAACTACATAGCTAAATTTGGTTAGTCGATAAATACAGAAGATAACATATATGTGACGATACGATCGATTATCAGAAGTACAACGTTAGAAACTAGTTGGTAACTCTCAACCACGTTAAATGCTGGATGATTGTCATTATATTTTCATTAAATTTTAAGCGCGTTACGAGATTCGTGATTCAATTAAATGCTTTTATATGTGGTTGATAGTCACTGTTATCCAATAGCTAACAGATCTCGATCATTATTAAACGGCTTATTAATTAATTCACACTAAACGTGGTTCCAAAATCTTAACTTTTATACAAGTGTCTGACAATATGTCTTGACATATTGCCTTGGAAAGTAGATTCCCTCGATAACTCTGCCGCGTCGCCATTATTGCGCTGTCTCATTTCTGATTATCATTAATCACAATGTCTGTATTTGTGATAACGATACATCTGTGATAATGATAAAGGAAAGTCAACAAAATAATCAAGTCAATCTATGCGTTTGAGAATATAAATTATTATGAATAACCATTTCATACGGAATGAATTATTACTTGATACATTTAGAATCGTTCTTCATACTTATTAACTCTTTCAACAATGACCATACAGATTGCTGGATTGCTGCAACGTTGTAGGCCATACGAGACAGAGACAGAGACAATGGCCTTGTAACGCAAGGATACGAGAGCAATATACTTATATATGTATAAAAAAAAGCACAATTTACCAGTGTTACTCTTAAATGATACATATATGCGGATCAGAATAATTACTCTATCCGAAGAACCTAGAATACCACGCCCCCGTTGCAATCGTATAAATGGCTCACACAGTCTACACTCATATATATGTACATGTTTAAAAGAAAATCGTCAGATATTACAACATTTCTTCACGAGAGTGCTAATTGAAATGCTAATTGAACGATGATCTAATGGTTAATTATACTACAGTCCGTTTACAGTCTAATGTGATGCGCGTTCTCCTACCTCTTATGTATATTGGAGTATAGCTTTATTGGATTTAATAATATATCGACTTTAATGTCACCTCACCATCATATTAATCAAGACAGCATCTTTTGGAAGACATTTGTTGTTGCTAAAAAATCTGACTTATATAAGAGGCGATGAAAGCTGAAATTTATAGCTTGACACTTTCCTAATTCTCAGAAATTTCTCAAATTTGGATAAAAATAGGAGACAGATATATAATCGCGAGTTGGATAAATGACTTAAAAGTATCGAAATTCACCTTTTTTCCCAAGTCTTTCCTTTCTCACCCAATCAGCAGGGGCTGGCGGCGGAATCGCATGTGTTCGATGTGTGGTTTCCGGACCTGGACTAGTGCTGGTTCTTTCAATCTCCGAATCCTGTGACACACAATCAATTCTATTACAAATACATAAAATTTATATAATTAGCTTAATAATTCACATAATTCTCTTAATTATATGTTGATACTTTAGAGAGTGAATCTAAAGTCCTGTCTTTTGCACGCTGCAGCGTGTTTCAATGTAAACTTGTATTTAAACAAAGTTTGTATAATTCATTGTTGTCGAAATATATATCTATCCTGGTGGAAAAATGCCTCAGAATTTTTCATATTATTTATCAAAATGCCTATAAAAATTTTAAGACTTGCTTAAAATTGTTAAATTTTCCAAGATTTTTATATATTATTAATTAGAACATTTTTCAGAAAAACTTAGACAAAATAATAATAAAATATTTCAGATTTTTCCCGCCAACACATCTTTGTAAAAAATGTGAATAAACATGAACAAATTGTCCATAATTATTCATCAGCAAGATATCCAAAGGTGTGTTCACCTCTTAATGACTCTCACCTCATAATTATAGCCGTGCCCTTGCCTCGGATATCTGCTGGTATATAGAGGATTGTTAAAGACGTCATTGTCAGCAGAATGAGTAGCGGGATTGTGAGGCGTAACGATGGTGTGCGGCACGTGAGCGACTTGCCCTCGGGAGTTTCTCGCTTTCCACCATTTCCTGCTATCGTCAAGAATCTCCAGATATTCGCCTCTGACTACCGTGAGCTCCTTGTCGTTGTTCGCCGTTCGTGGATAAGTGACTTGCACAATTTTGCCATGGCGCGCTACCAATTCATCCAGCCAAGCCTCCTGCGCTCTCTCTATACCGGCGGCTGCTCTGGGAGCTCTCTCGATCGAGTCTACGGAAATATCACTATGCGCCCTGGTCTGATCCACTCTTTCCTCGCGACCATACAATTCCGAGCTCGGTCCATAATTCCTGTCGAAATATTCGTTACCGCCGCGCTCCTCCCGGCTCTCGTACTCGAGATAATCGCTGCTGTAATGCGATTCATCCACATCACGGTGATTGTAATAAGGATCGTTCTGTTGTTCTGGCAACTCGTCTCTTTTTTGTTTATCCGCATTCAATAAGGACGCCAAATGATCGTGATCTCTGTCCTCGGGAATAGGATACTCTGGCGACCAACCGTCCATGAAGATCGGATGGTACGGCGGCACGTGTCCTTTCCATTGATCGCGCGGTATCAGCCACGTGTCGCCCAGCGAGTGCCAGAGCTCGGTCTCTTTGCTGGTGACGCAGTTTATCAGCAAATTGACCGCTTCTCGGGTGAGGAGCGGCGACACTACTTTACTGGGTAAATTCGGATCGTAATTAGTATCGTGAGAAGCGTCCACGATGAGCGCGAGCGGCGTGAAGAGAAAGTGTACGAGTTCCGGCGCGTTGGGATCGTGGATATGCGCTTTGAGCTTGGCTAATAGGTTGAACGAGAGCTTGAATTTCTGGAAGATATCAATGAACTCCATCTCGGGAGGTGGCTTTGCTCTCATCGTTAGCATACCGTCGCCGAGGTTTCTCTTCTTTGATTTCCGATTACGTCGTCGGCGCTCTAGCTCCCGAGACGCAGCAGCCGCGTGTTGCAGACGCGCGATGAACTTTTCGATGTCGTCGAAGCAATGATTTAAGATCGTCACGTCGCGCTCGTACTTCTCCGACGATGTCGACGACACCTCGTCGTTGTTCTCTTCTCGAGACATGTCATTCTGTCCGTCTGCTATGTTAAATTCACACACAGAGATATTCAATGCATTAATATTAATATTATATTGTAATTATATCCTTGAGAGTTTTTATATTCAATGGTGTTTCAAATTAATGGTAAACATTTATTTAAACATTATTTTCAATGATAGAAAATATAACACAATTTTTTTTACATAATTGCACACTCACCATTCGCCGCGTTGAAAGCAGACACCTGTTCCCTGACATTAACGCCGTTCAAGGGTGGTTCCGGAGGCGGTAAGGCAGGTGGAGGTGGAATATGTCCTCTAGGCCCTCGGGGCGAGCCACCCGTGACCAGTTTTCCCATTTGCAGCATCTTCAGGTCCTCGACGAGGTCCTGCGCCGAAACACTCTGACATTGGAATATGTGCATTTCCGCTCGCTGACCAGAACCACTATCGTCAGCTACCGTAAACACCAAAATGTTGTTGTACATCTCCATGGGATCTCTCGACGTAAATGCCGTCGGTTCTTGTATCAAGGAAGCCGGAAATCGCTCCATAATGGCCTAAAATTATCAATCGTATATTATATTGTTAGGTGAATTAGAATCGCCGATTGTACTTTGTACACGCAGTAATTTTGCGAACAATCTATACCTTCTCGCGTGACATGACAAGTTGATACACGTTGATATAAGTTACATAGGTAATTCTCAATTAATTAATTTCGTTTACGATTTGCGATATCACTTTATTATGGCCTCGAAGATTGTAACAGTTTATATCTCGAGGATCGAAGACGTGACAAAATATATGGATTTAATTAAAAGCATCGTTAAGTTCCGCAAACACAGACCCGTTTTGCGGACGCCCGTGTATTTACGCGGCGCGGCGGTAGAATCTGTACGGCGTAAAATAGAAAAATTACCCCCGTTTCGTTGTCCATGATAAGGACCCAGTTTCGCTCGAGACGGAGCTGCATTTTTTGACTCCAAATGCCATTGCTTTTTTCCAGTTGTAGAAGGCGGCGCATACCATCCGCCGGATAAACAATACCGGTTTCCTTCGTGACGGTGAACGTGGCCAAGTGCTCCATCATATACGTCGGCTCCGAGCTGCTGGCGCGACCGCCAGAAGTGCTCGACGGCCCACTGGAGCCACCATCTGAAATGTGAGACGTGCCTTTAATAATTAATTCATAAAATTCTTCTTTCGATATTCCTCATTTCTTTGTTATTTATCCTAAGATAATACAAAGTGCTACTTGAATTTTCTTTCGATTTTTTTTATCAATATTAATTTACGCATGTCATAATAAAATTAATTCTTTTTTGCAGAATATTTTTTCTCATTCTTTTATATCTAAAACAATGCATTGCTATTGATATTTTAAATTTGTTATTCTATTCAATTTTGTGCTGGAGTTTATACATATAGCATTTCGTCTTAATTTTCTCCAAAAGATTCGCGATAATCAGGTTTAATTGCCAGACAAACGGTACATTAGCAAATGATAATTTATTTCGAAATGTAATTAACTTGTTAATTCCACGGTATAATCTAAATGAGCAGGTTGCTCACCTTTGTTATAAGCGGGGCTGTGACCACTGTTGTAGTACGGCATGGTAACCAGGATGTGCCGCGCTGGTTATAACTGAAACAGAGGAGCCAAAGTTCCCATTATGAAACGTATCACTAAAAGAGGCTTTGAATTATGTGTCAGGTAATAATTCGTCACGGGCGAGTAAGGACGTATACGAAAATCTTAATTGGCCTTCAAAGTTCGCGTTCGCAAGGCTCCGGTTAATTTATGCGCGTCCGGCTTTGCCGGCCGTCTTTTCATTTCGGATCGGTGCAGTTTGGTGTAGTCGTAAAGATATTGTTATGTTGCCAGGCGCAGAGTATCCGAGTTCAATAACTTAATGACAGCAACGACCAACGTCGATACTTGCACGTCGCACGTCGCATGTCGCACGTCGCCGCGGCCGTATATCCGGCTATCGGGTCAGCAGTGCCATACTTGGCGCTCAAGAAAGTCAGCAGAAAGCAGCAGCCCCTTTGCCCCTCGCTAAAGTGAAATTCCAATGAGTTTAATTCGTTTGCCAGACATGTCTGGAATTTCTCCTCTTCTTCTTCTCCTCCTCCTCCTCCTTCTTCTCCCAGTTTACTAAACTTCATTTTCGAAGGTGAAATCATGGAGCTAATCGTGTTCACTACTCGTTCGGACACTCTACTGCCGTTTGACTGGCGCGAGAGCAGTCTCGTCCACTTTTCACTTCCTTCTATACCTGTTTCGTAGTTGCATTAACCGCAATCTTTATGCACGATTAACGTGCCTTACGATTTCCTAAATATCATATCCTTTAATGTAATATTTTGCGTAATATCAATATGTTATCTCTGTTTATTGAAATTAAATAATCTATACATATGAAATGCTTTAATTATTATCAGTTAAAGTAGGTATAATTTCTAGATAGCTTACTCATGTTTTCAAATATTTTATATATATAAAATTTTTTGTACGAGTATTTATGCATGCAAACGATTTACGAAAAAATTAATTAAAATAAAAATATATAATTCATGCGAATGTAATTTGTTTATAAGGCAGGATCAGGATATTTTGTTGAAATTTTGTATATTGCATATAAGTAATTTCGAAACTGTGAAATGGTTGTCGCAGGAATATTTTTCTTCTTCATTTTCTAGCGGAAAGATTTATCTATAATATTTATTATCGCGTGTAAATTGATGCGTCATAAAATCTACACGCTCGTCGAGGGATCATTCCCGATAGAAGAGAAACTGAGACGACAATTCGTTTTTGCATAGCTATGTGCGAAGAATGTGAATATCTGAATTTGTTCCTAGAGAAATTCCTCCATAATATTCTCCTCTGATAGAGTTAACCGCACATGCAAACGCGCAACTACTTGAAAAATATTCGAACAATTAAAAAAAAAGAAGGATGTAATATATATGTATAAATTCAAAATTAGTGATTTTGACGTATGTACATATTATAATGAAAGTTTATGTCAAGTAAATATGTGTATTTTGTTATTGCATCGTGTTAAATCAAGATTTCTACAAGTATTCTGTTAATTTTCTTTAATACTAGACGAGTCTTATGATATTACGTAGAGTGTAAATACTTGCTCAATGAGTCCCGTAAATACCTTCGGCAACTGCGAGTTGTCAATCGCATTTGCGTAACTACATGACAACTGATCGTTCTTTCATAACGCTACGTCACATTAACGAGTTTACGTGAATGTAATATCTTGTTGGTGAAAAAAAATTATGCATTTCCTGCGATATTATGCGATTCAATTTATACGCAAAAAGAAATCTCCAAACAAAGATGCTTATAAAACTTTGCAAGTTTTCCGAAAAATAACTTACCACGACATTGGTATATCTACAAATATGATAAACTAATCACAATTAAAATAAAATAAAAGTAATTGTGATTTATATAAAAAATTGTAATTTATAATAAAAAATTATGACTATCCCTCTCCCCCACACAACGTGTGTTACGTGAATATGTGAATGGTAATATTTTAGGAACAGCAAGAAATCTGCAGAAATTTTTCTTCAAGTTTCTCTTCTTCTACTTGTATGGATCTTCGTCTCTATTGGGACAAGCATTCTTCGAGTCATTAAATTGTGGTTTAATTGTTTAGTTGACTGCGCCCGTTTATAGTTTCGAAAGTGCAAACAAGCGCTTCTAATCGCGCGAGCGCAAGCGGTCAGGCGTTTCGCTTCGAAATTTTCGCTCGCGATTCTTTAATGATTTGGCAGCTAAGTCGGTCGCTAAACGTAAATCTATTCGTCGGCACGTAAAAATGAGTAATAAGGAGATACTTGTTAAACGATAAATAATTTTGATTCGCTTTCACCGACGTCGACAGGTTGTTCGGAAGCAATTTTGCAATTCACGATGGGATTAGATACCGTGAGAACGGAAAGAAAGCATTGTTATATGACAGGCACGTCAATCGGTTGTCATTTCGCACAATGACAAGTAAGTAGCGCTGTTAATATGGGCTAGACTATTCTTTACATCAAATAACTCGTGCAACTATGTGATGTAATTAAAAAATCCTTACGGTATGTTAAAAATTATTAAACATTTCTTACATAAATAACAAATCGCTCTATAAAGTAATGAACAATCACGAGATGAAAGATATAAATTAATAATCGGAGCGCTTATCAGAGCGCTTACACGTTTCGATTATTTCGAGTATTTTGAATTTCGGAACGATTCATGATTATTCTATACATTGTTCGATTTAATATCCGGCGAGTGGAATAATATCAGATAAATTATCACAATAATATTTTATGCAACGCTTCATACGTTCTAATGAGGGAAGGAGAGGGCAAGAGAGAGAGAGAGAGAGAGAGAGAGAGAGAGAGAGAGAGAGAGATAAATATGGTTGCCTCTTTTACTGGCATCCGCGGTCTAGGCTGTCGTTTCATTATACAAATACGTATAATTTTATGTGCTAGCGAATTTGGATCACAGAATTATCACACGTCAAGTCGATTGATTGATAGTATTGCGATACGTGATCTGAGAAAAAATCGACGTTTGGAATCGTCATATCGCATCGTTGGGAATGCAACTTGTATATTTGCATGTAACAAAAAGGATTATTGTATTTTTTTTTTAATTACACTACTATCCTGACTGCAATTACCACTAATGAGAAAAAATCGCAAAGTCCTGCTTGACGAGTTATAATAATAATTGTATATATAGAGTCTCAAATTTTGTGTATTATAATATTGCCCTGCCTTTCCGTAGATTCTTTGGTCAATTTAAGAGAAAGTTTAATAAAATACACCATCTACTTTAACCTTTTTAATTTTCAGCTTATCGCTAAGGTTTTCTTTACGTCATTTTTCTCCAGGCTAAAATTCTATGCTATATTTTATAAGCATAGAGTTATTTTAAAGCCTAAAATCATTACGGCTTTCTCAATTCTATCACGTTCATGTATCTGTACATATACACATTTTATTATTTTCTTATATATTTAGTCATATTATTTTAAGTTTATTTCCTCGTTTCTAGTATAAGTTTAAATTAAAAAAAGGAATAATATTAATCTAGCAATCTAGCGGAACGGGAATTGTAAAAATGAGGAAATAAAATTACGGATATCGTATGAGATATTAAATATAACTATTTTGCCGGCGAGGTTCTCACGCACTGTAGAGTCCGTAGACTGTAGGTAGCTACGACTCGACGTGAAAGAATTCCTGTTCGCAACGCGGTTCTAATGCTGGCCTAAGGATCTCGACGGAGGCCTAACACACAGCAGTCACGGCAAAAAGGGAAGGGAAAAGGAAAGAAGGTGAGTGGGCTTCGGTGTGTATGCCTCTCCACGAGACCCAAGTTACCAATGCGTTTCGATCCTGCATACCAGGAATTCCTCATCAACGCTCTGAATTCTAGATTTTAACATGTAACCGAGAATCCCTATTCACGGAATCAACGATATATCAGATGTACAGAATAACGTCAACAAAAACTAACGAGTTATTAGAATTAAAATTAATTGTATACATTGGATATTTTTTTTAACTTTATATATAAATAGAAACGCAATTTTTATTGTTCTAACGAGAGTTGGATTTAATAATTCTTCTTCCAATCTCGAGAAATAAACGCGAATCGGCTATGCAAATGTAATCTCGAGAAATGAACATAAAATGCGCGTAGAAGAATGCATATCCAAGTATCTCTGAGATATCACTTTGTAAAACTTTGTAAAGATTGGATTATGCAAATTTTGTATCAGCGCGGAATGTTAGCATAGGAAAAGGATATTACAACATCCAAGTTCTCATTGAGAATACAATTTTTTTACGTCACCTAGACGTCCAAAGTGTGGAAAAAGAATAAAGAGTATAAGTATATTATGAATATGTACATATATGCGTAAACGTACTTCGCGACAAGTCTCAAACGTAATTATTTATATTTATATGGATACGGACACATCTCACGTGCAGAAAAATTTAATCGTGCAGGAATGCGTCGTATCGTGGATTCGCTACCTTGAATGTACTTGACACCTACAAACGGTTTAACCTTGGAACCACTAAATTTTGCGTCCAATCGTATTGTAGGAGCAAACAAATATACAAATATACAAATTGATTTTATGCAAATCAAGATTTTTTACCGCACCTCTCTCTCTCTCTTTCTCGCTCGCTCGCTTTTTTTATGACATTCCTTTGATTTCTGCAAATTTTTATGCGCATATGTGACAGTTTTTTTCGCTTTAATTACAAATCTCGAAGAATAAAGAACGTAAATTTTACTTGTTCGATATATTTATGTATCGTGGAAAATAAAATATCTTGATGACTCGTAAGAGTTTTCGCAATGTTCTATTTTTACTCCTTACAAACCGTACGAACTCTTTTTACGTACAAAGTGGAAAACTCTAAACGTAATTTTCGCCTATGCCAATGGGTTAACAACCTTGGACATGGTCGAGATGTTCCACGCACTGGCGACGGAAGGGAATGCGAGCAAGTATTTTGTTGCTCGTGTGCGCGAGCGCGAGCGCGATGATAAATCGAGATGATGCACAT